GCACTGGAAAATTGGTTTTCAATCATGTAAAGAAGGAGCGTGCACCATCCCTGGGGGCCTGGGCTAAGGCAGAACATCAGGATGGAAATGCACTCTGCACTGTTACCCAAAGCAGCAGATTATGGGCTAACAGCAGAACCAAACACYAACTTCAGAACTAAAAATCCCACGTTCTGTTTTCAAGAATTACAAGGGACCCTGAAAACCTCTCTCTGTAAATTGAAACCTGACGAGAGTCACCTGACTGTGATATTAATCCAAGTATGTTGAAACGAAGTATCTGGCAGGGATTTCACACTTTCCTGTATCCCTCCCACCAGGCCAGTTTATCTGCAGCCAGGCTGGAATCCTCCCGACCCCTGGACTCCCACAGCACTTATAGCAGCTTTACTTCAAACTAGTGATTCCAAAACGAAGTTGTGGGAAGAGCTGACACCCCAACAGATGAAATGGGAAGTCATTTCCACCCACATTAATTCAGAAGAGCAGGCATTCCACGGGGTACCAACAAAACTTGTTATTTACCACCTCAGATGTGTAATACTATCGGACTCGGAAAGTTTTGGGAGTTTTGGCCAAGTGCCTTCTGWTTTCCACAGAGSACAACGGGTTTAAGTGCTAAACTRAAGTTAARGCAAGCTGCTCWAGTTTGAGGGTCACACACAAACCTWGCAAAGCCAACTTTCTCACTACAGGCTTAAACAACGTGATACACAAGAACCTTCTCTACATAGGAAGTAGCAACACCAGTCCCTGGGAAGCTGAGCTGGGTTGGTCTCCAGCTGACTGCATGACTTGTGCCAATCATACCCCCGAAAATCCTTTTCTTTTATCATATGGTCTCTCCTAATACAGCTTTAATCAACTGATCACAAACCCTAGACCAATTAAAAGCTACTTTTTAATTTTTGTTATGCTAYACTGATAATAAATTCAACCTGGTACTAAAGCTTACAATAAATATTCAGAGAACAGGTAATCTGTCGACACAAATCAGTTAAGAGTGCCCCAGCAGTGCTATTCAAATGACTTAAACCAAGCCTTGCATTACAGCTGCTATTCTTTAAATAAAAAAAGGAGGCAGAAAGGAAGTTGCAAGTGTTGCCTTTATGCCTAAGTTTATATCCAGAACGGAAGTTTACTTTAAGCAAGATGTAGGAGGTAAAGGGAAGACACACAAAAACACAACCTGAGCATCCCTTTGAGACAACCTGGTTCACCTGAAGGCCATGGCCAAGGGTCCAACAAAAGTCCAGAAGGAAGGAGGCTAAATCAGGCCTAAGCTGGAGGCCTTTAGATGAAGCCTTTCCACACTGTGCCACCTCCCACAGCAGGATCTGGGCTACTGTCAAAGGAATTGCTTGAGAAACCCCAGCAGAGGCAACAAAAGGAATGAAAGAGAGTATTTAGAATTACCCCTTTTATTTCTGTTCCGAACAGTGACTAGTTAGCCAAAGATAYATATTTTTCTACATAATCCTTTTCTATAAAATTTTTATATAATTATAATSCAACTAACTCAGATGCAGCGAAAGCTTTACAGGTATCTGATTTACCCGATTGTTTCCCACTCGCTAACTACAAAACACCCGCCAAATCAAGCCATGAAATGCAGGCATGCACAAAGTGATCTCATTTATTAACTAGGATTCAGAGTCAACCAGATCACTCTACAGCCTTAATCACAGCTCTTCCATTCCAAAATGTGAAGTTTTAGCCATCGCTCCAGCCTTGCTAAGAGAGGACTCAGGATATGTTCGGCTACATCCACAAGCAACTACGCCCGGCAGAAGGAAAAAACCACTCTTAAATTAAAGCTCATCAAGGACACTGGATGAAAAATAATGATAATTACTATCCTCCTAGTAAATATTAGAGGCTCTGCACTAGCACCAGTAGCACTTCCTCAGGGTAGGAGGGATGATGTCATGGCTGCATGCTACAGCATTGTTGGGTTTGCCTGGCTACACGCTGCTAACGGGACACTCCCTACAGAACTGTGACCGCACTCTCAGCTTCCCTGCTATCAGCAACCAGTTTAATAAGTGTTCAGAGACCCTCAATTAGCACAGAAACACAGAATAGCCAGCAAGCAAATGAAAATCAGAAAAAAAAACCCCAAAAAACAAGAGAGTGGAAAAAAAAAAGCGCAGAGGAGACAGCTGTAACAGGGTGGCAAACAAAGCTCCAAAGCATGAAAGAGAGAAAGGAATGTGGTTAAAAAATCTCCCCTAAGGAAGAATACTCTGTACTCCCAAGCTCCAGCTGTTTGACTTGCCCCACTCCCTCCTCCACTCCATTATCCACTCTGGCTGTGCTAATTTAACACAAACCGCCCGCCTGTGTCAACTGTTGAAAGGAGGGATTTCGGCAAAGCGGCCTCGGATGCATCCAAGCTCCGGGTGCAGAAAAAGGAAAAACTTTGGGGCGGAAAGTTGAGGTGCCTTTGGTGTGGTGTTGCTTTGTGCCGGGAGAGCTTGGGAAGCTGTGAGGGAAGGCAGCAAGAGCCCATCCTGCTGCAGCCTCCGGCACCTCGAGCTCTGCCACTGCTCCTACACGCACCTCGACTCCCAGCCGGCAGCCAGATTTGCATGCAGAAAGCTCTGCCTTCATCAACAAAGCCAYACAACTCCCAGCAAGAGCACCTGACAGCCCCCCAATTCATGGCAGACACCCCCATGAATGAGACAAGCAGGTCGGAAGAGCAAGGAGGAAGGGAAAAAAGGAGGGAAAGGAATAAACCCGGCCAACGTTAAAGTCTGGAGGCCTGGATTTCCAYGGGGAATGTATTTTCAGGTTTGAGATACTGTGGGGAGCGCTGCAAGGGTTTGGAAGTCATATATGCAGCCAAAATGGCGCTGAGAATAAAAATATAATTTAAAGGAAGGTCGCCATATTGTAAACAGTGAGGCAGGGAGACACAGAGACAGCAACCTCCATTATTCCCAGCAGCTGCAGCAGCACGGAAGCGCTGGGAACGTCAGGCCTGGTGCGGAGATGCCACCAGGGCTTTCCCCTCTCCTGCCAGGGYCCTCCGGAGGGTCCCCCCAAAGCCAGGCACCCTCGGAGAGGGGTGAGGAGGGGAAGTTTCCCGCTGGAGGGAGGGGGGAGGAAGGCCGGGCAGGGGCAGCACCAAAGCAGCCAGGCCGCGCAGCCAGCGGCCTCGCTCCTCCTCCAGGCCTCTCGCCYGCTGCTCAGCACAAAAAGAAAAGAGGAGGGTGGACCCCTAACCCCCGCAGAAAGCAGCGAGGGGAGGGTTCACTTCGGCCGCTGTGGATTAGTCTCAGGGGGGATGGAGCCGAGTGGGGTTTGCACCTCCTTTTTGTTCCTGCCTGCTACACCCGGYCCCACGTCCTCCCCCTCCCCGGGACCTAACGGGAAGCGGGAGCGGCCGGAGGGAAGGTGCTCTGGGCAGATCCGGAGGGAGAGAGCGCCAAGCCTTACCAGCACTGGAGGTGGAAAGCGGCGGGGCAGTGATCGCAGCACAGCAGATCCCCTCCTTCCTTGCAGCTATCGCAGCTATCGTGGTTAGTGGCCCTGCCACTTCGCCTGGGCTCCTTCTCGGGCCTCCTGCTCTTCTTCTCCCCATCTTCGCTCTTGGGGGGAGCCAGGAGGGCCTGGATTTGCTGCACATGCACACACAGACAGAGCGGGCTCTGAGGGGCTGCGCGGACCCTGACCCAGCGCCCTTCTCCCCGTGCCCGCCGGGAGGACAGCGGCCCCGGGCCCTCCGGGAGGGGATCGGGGGGGCGACAGAGCCCCGGCCGAGCCCGCCCCGCCCGCCCCGTGTCCGGCAGGGCCTCTCCGGGGGCCGGGCGAGCTGCCTCCGTCCCTCCGCACTTCCTTGTAAGGCCACGGGGCTCCGGGGTGGGGGGGGTCCCTCGCCATCTTGCAGCCCCATTGCCTCCCCGGTCCGGCCTCCCCCGCCGCGTCCCGGGCCTCACCTCCATCAGCCCCCCGGAGGTGTCCAGGTCGTAGACGATCGTCTTGGTCTCCATCTTCTCCCACATTCATCCAGCCCGGGAGCGGCCCCGAGAGCCCCCCCCGGCGAGAGGGAGCGAGGCGGGGACGTGCAGCGGCCCCTCAGCGGCGGCTCCGCGTCGAGGCGGCG